TATATATATATATATATATATATATATATATATATATATATATATATATATATATATATACACATAGAGTAGAGCGGAATTAATTAGCAATCATTATCACTTATTGATTTATCTTTAGATCTAGAGTTTTTCTTTTTTAGTTTTGTTTGATATTGTGATATTGATGGTAAAATCTTTTCAACTAACAACTGTTTTATCATCAGAAGTCCTTAACGATGCTAAAGACTTCTGATGATAAGACGGTTAGGACTTCTGAGAACATCCTAATAAAACAAAATTTTTTTAAGAAATTGGCTTTTGACATAAAAAATGATTTACATTTTAAAAAATTGCTCTATTATTAGGTCCAGGAATTTTAAAGACTAAATTAAAAAAAATTGCTTGGAAGCATACAAAAGATTCTCGTAATATGCTTCGTATCATTTGGTATGGTACGGTTCAAAATCTGTCAGTTATACAACAAATACTTTAAAAAAAAACAAGTGTATGACGAAATGGGTCTAAAATTTAAAATTGAGTGGAAACAAATCTGTATATATAGCTTGTGTTTTAAAATACAAGTTTATGTTTTTTTAAATATTGTTCAAGTATTTATACACTTGTAAGTTTTTATTATTCACGCTTAAAAGATAAAATTGTTTTAGGGTAAATGCCAATGTGTGGTATTTTATGAGTGTAATTTTGTAGTTTTTTTTTACGCAAATTTATTTTGCTCTATTATTGAGCTTTGATGACTAATGGCCAATTTTTTTGATTGCAAACTCAAAACTTATGGAAGCAATGAATCATGATATAACAAGCATACTAACAAAATATTACTGCTTCATTGGTTTAAGATTTGCAATAACTCATGATTTTTAAAACGTTCGATATCTTGCTTTGTCTTCCCCTATCTATAAAAACTATGGATATTCTTTTAATTTTTTGGACTTCGTGAGATGGCCGTTGAAAGTGCATAAATATTTTGTAATCTATTCAAATTTCCAGATAGCGCTGTTTTAATGTTTAATATATAAAGAAAAGCGCATCAACTTTTATAAAAACAAAAAATGTTCGTTTCAAGATGATAAAATCATTAAATAAATAATCTCATTTCTAGTACAACTTAATCCTGTTTAAACTGGGTCTTGTAGGTTAAAATTATATGGCGTGCTCAAAAAAAGATTCCATTCTAATAAATCCATTGTTAAATTTATTTTTGGATAAAAATACACTTAGTTCTAATACTTTCTTTGACACAATTAAACTTTTAAGGCACTTTTTCCAAATAATACTACTCAATTCTAAATAACATTATTCAATTGTTAAAACTGTAAATAAACAGCTTTTATTTTACATGGTAAAAATTGTTGTTTTGAAGTATGGATTTTAAATAAATTTTAAATTTTTTCTTAAGCTTAAGGTGGTCCTCCACAGAAAAAGCAAACTTTTGATAGAAAAACTTTTTTGATTTATATTTTTCACCAAAAATCTTGTTCTATAAACTATTTTAAAGAATCAACTTAAAAAAAATGTCTTGACTAGCCAGTTATTTAAAATAAGATTGAAAAAACTAGCAATTTTTGTGATCAAAATATTTATCATATCAAGCTGAAAGTTGGTTTATATACTAATGAGGTATATTAATCCAGATAAGTGAAACATTTTTTATTATTTATATTATATAAAAGGTTACAACATTTGAAACAAACATAAAAAAATTGCTGAACATTCTTCCAGCATTTTTTTCTCATTATTTTATTTTAAATATCCTTTAATCATCCGCATCCTTTTTAATTATGTAAAAAATCGCAAAAAAATTTTATTTTCATTAGATCAAAGCTTAAACGAGTTTAAAGTTAATCATATTTTAAAGATTTGTATTCGAGGCAAAACTTAGTTTTGAGGAAACAACAAATATATAAAACAAAAGAATAAAACCATAATAAAAAGTTCATATAAACATATTAAAACCCTCCAGGAATATATTTTGAGTTTTTTCTTTATCAATTTCTTTATTACCTTTGTCTAACTAAGTCTTTCTTTATCATCTTTGTCTAACTAAGCCTTTTTAATTGTTTTTAGCTATTTTTCTCTCTTTTTAACACGTTCAGTGGACTACTGAAAAGGCCGCTTTATAGCTTCTTTATTCTTATCATTAGGTTTCAAAGACATTACATATTCTGTTAGTTAAAACTTATTAAGTACAAATAAGATTCCATTAGGACCTTCATAAAATTCAATCTCAGACGAATTAAATGCAGACTCAAAAACCCTCTAAAAAAAAAAACAACCCCTCTACTCACAAAAATACGTTTTGGGCAGTGTCTCCAAATAATCTGGTTCAGTGTCTCGTTGGCGTTTTAGTTAATCATCTGAAGATAAATCAGTAAAAGTTGATTTCAAAATGTTGAAGACTAAAGCGTATGTAGCAAAAATGTTTACTTGCTCTACATAAGTATTTTCACCATGAACTTTCTCTAAATGATATTTGCACTCAAGTCTCAGTTTCCCTTGGGCAAATACGGTGTTAACATTCCTTGTCGTCAAAATCTGTACAACAAAACTAAACCGCCTAAACAACTTTTTTTATAGCCTACAAATTGTTAAGATTGTTTCTTTTTGCTAGGCTAAGAAGTTCTGCGTAGAATTGATCAAAGATTAAGTTAACTTTCTTTTTTGATGTAATGGTGTGTTCATTCCTTTATAAGTTTGTACCTTACGAAATCTAGTGTCCATTCTCTTCTGTTTAATTTATATAAATTTTGCAATAAAAAAATGTTACAGGATTTTTGCAAAGTAAAGTTCTCAAAAATTTGTGTTAGAGGGTGTCGTCGACAAGACCACATTAAAATGGTAATTTTCCTTTGCATTTAAAGCATCTATGCAAAAAACTATGATTCTCAAACTTATGATCAATTAACTTAAATAAGATATGTACTTAATGATAATAATCATGATTTTATTTTAATTGGTATATACAATTTTTTTATAAAAAATAATAAAACAGTGATCAAAACCCACTAATTTACTAAATAGGATAATATCATTCTCTCTGGTTAAGGCTATGAACTTAATTAATGAAACACTTTTGAACTTTTATATATGAACAAACTATGAAAAACTGTTTTTATAAAAATCTGTGAAAATGATACCCAATTATAATTTTATTAACCCAGCAATTATTTTAATGTGGATTTGCAATGGACCTATATAAGCATTTTGAGCAGTTAATAAGAGTTTTGCTCATAGGTTTCTTAAGGAATTCGCTAAAAGTGGCTAGCCAATAACTCTTCAACATGTAATATAAAAGCTAGTTGTTGGCTAGCCATGATGACGACTGCCAATCGTGGTCCACTATGTAACCAATGAGTCTTTTCACAGTGGAAAAAAAGTGGGAAACTCTCAAAATTCCTATAAAAGTCTACTAAAATTCCGCTGTTAAATTTTTGCTGGGAAGATTGTTTAAAACAACAATTTGCTGTGTGTATTTTTTTCATAAAGTCAAAATTAGTTTAAAAATACGTGAAAAATTTATCACTTTGATTTAAAGAAAGATGTCAGAAGACTGTTGTAAAGTTTTTAATTTAAAATAATTAAAAATAGTGTTATTTGTGTATTCAAAATGAGCGCATTTGTTAACTATAAACGTTGTATTAAAAACTTTATTTATTTATTTAAAATTAATTTACATAAACGTTCAATATATAGTTTTATATTCTGTAATAAAAAATTTCTCCTGATTAATTGATTGTCCGTTTCTTTACCCTGTCCTATAACACGCTTCTGAGACTTTGAATAAATTCCGTTCGATTTTTTATTATTCAATTATTATTTTTTGGATAAAAAAGAGGAATAAGTTAAAAAAGTAAAATAGTAACTTTAAAATGATTGCAAAACAGAACTTCGAACTTTCTGGTTTTTATTTATAAGCGAAAACCAGAAAGTTCGGTAATGCAACCTGAGTAGTTTTGGTAATGCAACACCTTACAGTTAAAACCAAATTTCCAAAAAATCTTTTTCATTTCAAAAGCAAAGTTTATACTTTTTAGACATTTGATTTAGTAAATATTATATCCAGCAGAAAAAATTTTCTTAAAAACGTCTATAAAAAAATTTTGTTAAACGTTTTTTTTTGAAAACCCAAGTACGAGATTTGTTAACTAATATATTATATAAAGTTTACTTGAACTCAGAAACTTAAAAACACCATGATGATATGAAAAATGTGAAAATTTAGAAATGTGGATTTATTTAGTTTATAGCTTGATTTGAAGAAAATGAATAAAAAAAACATACCCGAATGTCATTTTTATGATCCCCATGCATTAACCCTCTTTTTCGATGCATTCGGTAATGCAACACATTTTTTATAACGGCTCTTATATTTAAAGTTTTTGCTCAAATTTTTTTTTCAAAAATAACATATCTAAAAAATTTAGATCTTTCTTATAGGTAATACTGAAAAAAAATTTAAAAAATACTGAGCGGCACGGCAATAATCTAAAATCCTGTGAGCCGATGACCTTGTTGCAATAACGAACAGAGAACCATATACTGATGATGATAATGATGATGATGATGATGATGATGATGATGATGATGATGATGATGATGATGATGATGATGATGATGATGATGATGATGATGATGATGATGGTGGTGAAGGTGGTAATTATGATAACAATAATAATGATGATGGCAATAATAATGATGTTGATAATTAAAATTTTAAATTTGAATTCACTTGAATTTCAGTGTTAAGTATAAATCTATTACTATTTTAATTCAGTAATAAATTTGGACAACTTTTTATACTTTTACGACTTGTATATTTGTATATTCTTTATTTTATATTATTATTACTATTATTTTTATAGCTATTATTATTATTATTATTATTATTATTATTATTATTATTATTATTATTATTATTATTATATGTGCACTATTTACTATAAATCAAATTTATCTATAGTTTACTATGCCAACTATTAAAATAGAAAACATAATTAAAATACCTGTCAGATCAGTAACATCCGATGAATAATCAACTAAAATTTCAACAGGAATGGTTGATCTGTTGATTAATTGATTAAAAGGTGTGATATTTGAATTCTGAAAATCTTCATTTTTATTGCCAATATAATCAAATTTGGGTGTATGAGGTAAATTAATTTGGTTCATCATGTAGGTTTTTGAAGATATTCTATCTGAAAAATTTGATTTTGGTACAATGTGAAAACTTATTTGACTTGATTGGTTTTTAAAACTAACCTCTTTCGATAAAGAGTTTCTATTTGCATAATTAGTAAAAAACTTTGGATTTTCCAACCTTGTGTAACTTTTAGTGTCACCCAAAGTTTTTTTAGAAAATGTAAGAGCTGATTCTAAGAATGAATTTTCAATTACTGACTTTTTATCTCTAACACTACTATTTTTCTTAATAGATCCAACTTTATTTTTTGGAGATTTTTTGTTTGATACCTCATCAATTTTTTCAACATCTGGGTTAATTCCTACTTCATTTTCCTCATATTCTGAAAATGCTGAACTATCTTGAATAAAATTCAGTAGAGATTTGATAACGGTTGAACCAAATATTTTCTTAACTTTGTACAATTTTATAACCTTATTAACTAATATTGTAAGCGGAGGACAATATACTTCTTCTTCTGGAAGCTCCTAAAATTTAGATTTGCATAAATTACATATATCATAAATAACATCAGTTATGCTGATTTTATATATAAAAAAAGAGTAAGTTAAGACAAACCAATCAACAACAACTTATAAATTAAGAAATTGTTCAAACACACACCATTGCCCTGACTCTGAAGCATTTTATGAACTCAAAGTTTGATTCTTTATCAACATCGCCTAATATTATTATTTAATAGACAATTTCAATTTCAAAAACTATTTTATGTTTTTAAAAAAATCTTTATACTATTTCTTAACCTAAAGTACAAATATTTGCACTTGTATTTGGAAAATACCAATTGCATATACTTGTATTTGAATTTGTATTTGAAAATCTAAAATTAACATGTTTGTATTTATCAAATATGTTTAATCAAATACAATATACATCATTAAAAATGATCTATATCATAACACAACAGCAGCTAATAAGGAAACAACAGCAGTTAATAAGGAGACAACAGCAGTTAATAAGGAAACAACAGCAGTTAATAAGGAGACAACAGCAGTTAATAAGGAAACAGAAATATTCTGTTTTTGTGAACTTAACACTTACACAAATTTAAAGTTATTTTTTTTTTAGTCCGATCTACAAAATATAAATTAGGATTAGAAATCTCTTTGAAATTGACCTGACCTATATTAAATACCATTTAGTATAGGTCAGGTCAATGCAAATAACATTTTTTTTTTTAATCAATAAAAATTTTATAAAATTTAAAATGAAACATTTTTTTATTCAACTTTTAATTATAATTTATTTTATTTTACAACAACTTATTAACGCCATATGTAAATTAAAGTTGGAAATTTTATTGTTTTACTTTTTAAGCTAATATTACAAACAATGAAAATAGGTAAATTTGTAAATAAAATAATAAATAATAAATAAACATGAACATAACACTGTATATTACAGTTTGCTATCTAAACCACCGTGGAATGGAGTACTGGGGTGGAGTGAGTCATAGAGCAGATAAAAAACCATGCTTAGGCATTTAATCTGTTGTGAACTATCTGATGTATGACAAAATTTGCTTAAAGCTCTTTATACTAGTCCTATTATACATTATACTAACCATAATACTTGGTTGAGGTTTTAATTGGTTAGTGAAGCCTATAGTCAAAGATTCTTCATGCATAGGTATTAAATCCATCTTGGGCTCTCTTATCTTCTTTAAGAATTATAGGGTAATGTTTTATAGATAATTAGTAATGAAAATACAACAATCAAATACCATTGAAAGAACAAAACAAACCTAGCAGCTAGCAGGAACAAAAACCAATAAGCATGCCAATTAGAGTAGTACTTTGTAAAAATGTATACACACAGTCAAACTATATCCTACTGACAGAGGTAAATAAAAACCACAACAATATGGTAATTATAAATAGTATATTAAAGAACCTAAGTTGAATCAAATATTACACGTTATTTGTACTTCACTTTTAGTGATACGCACTGTCATACATAAAATTTGTGAATACTTCCATGTAAGCAGGTAGTATCATTCAAGGTATTAAAATTCAAGATTTGAAATCATTCAGAAAGAGTACTTATGGAACTAAACATAATTGAGTGTGAGGTGATTATAGCATGAATGCCAATCATGCTAATGGTCCTGGTAGAAGGCCACCTCTTTTCATACGTGAAAAAAATGAAAATGGTAAATTTATTTTAAATGGCCAAGGTAAATTTTACAGAAACTGAAAAAGAAAATTTTAAGTTTCAGACAGTTCCAGGCATTGTGAAAACTCCAAATTTAAATATGTTCGTTCCTACATTAGATGAGAATGTTTAGCGAAAATGAAGTGATTAAAGCCTGGGAACAAAATACCCCAACATATTTACTTCCCCTTTCCCAAATGTGAAGAAAATGAGTTTATAAAACAATTTAATTTGCAATTTTATACTGAATTAAAATTCATCAGCACATTTTAAATTTCATCTAATTATCTTTAGACATTTCAAATTATGACCAGTTCAAATTTGCAACATCATTTTGATGGGGATGAAAACTTTATGTGGTCATAACTTTTGAACACTATTAGATAAGAAACTGAAATTTGAAACCTATCGATGAATTTAGTATAAGATATTAAAGGATTTTCTGCAGAGCATTCTCATTTAATACATAACTACAGAGTAATATATCCAGACTTCTCATAAGACCTGTGTGGTTGCACACCTTATATTACCACACATAAATTTTTTTTTTTTTTTGACAAGTTAGCCAGGGTTTCTTACTAATTGATAATTTGCATGTTTTAAAAAACGTGCTGAAAAAAGCAAACTAATTTAAAGAAAAAATTAAAAATAAACAAACTAAAAAGTGAAACAAACTTAACGAATGATAAAATAAATAAAGGATAAACCAGAGAAAATAAAAGCACAACAACTAATATGTTTTTTAATATAGAAGGCTCTAAATTTATAGCCAGCACTCAATAGTCAGCTCTATTTATTTATTTAATCAGTGCTTAATTTATAGTCAGTGCAAGCTGAGAAAGATAGCAGTCTAAACTCTGAGTTAAAGTTTAGTATATTTATTATTTTATCCAGTTGAAATTTATATTTATTAATCTATTATTAAATTAATCAAAAAGATAAACAAGTTAATAAAGTAATTAGTATCAAAAAAATTTAATTGTGAACAATATTAATACAAAGTAACCCTAAAGTAGCAAACAAAAATATGAGCCATAATTCGGATTATCCAACAATTAAGAAGAAAAGAAGCAAGAAGAAAAATATAACATAAATAAAAAAAGAGAGAAAAAAAAAACGAAAACAAATTTCACAAATCTATTGGATAGCAAAAGATTTAAAGATACTTAAACTTCTTATTTTTTCTTTTTGATAATTATTGGTGATTTGTTTATTATTTTTCTGGACAATTGATTAATATTTGTAGGTCATTTATTCTCATTTCTTTATAGAATTATAATTATATCTATATAGCTAATATATCAATAATAACATATAATTTATTCATATATATAAATATTAGGGTGAGTCACTTTTAAAAAATTTTTGAATTTAGGTTTGACTGGGCATTTTTCTTGTGTCTATGACCATATGATACTAAGAACAGATTCTCTTTTTATTTGCATTTAATGTCTAGTCAGGTAATTTTTAGCGTGAAAATTCAAGTTTTATCATAAACATATCTTTTATAGGAAGTTATGGAAAATGCTTTACTACTCAACAAAATAAAGTCTAAAAAGATTCTTTAGCCTTAGTTAACCTAGTTGCGTCAATAATATATTAAAGTTACATCATAAACTACAATTTTATGGTATATTAGATCTATACGCGTAATAAGACATTAAAATTTGTTTACTCATAATAAAAAGATATTTAAAATAAATAGTTTACACATACTAAAAAGATAAAATACAAATTACTCATAATAAAATACAAATTATTCATAATAAAAAGATAAAATACAATACAAAATTTTTAGTGATCCTCAAGAGAATTCCAGGAATGGTAAATCCCGGAAATCTTGTTGGTCAATTCCCGTTCCTGTTCTCTTTCTTTTTTCGAGAAATTTCCGGGAATTGTTTTTAAATACAAATATGTAGATTATCATTTTTTAAAGGTATATTTAAAGTTTATAGTTGTAATTGCAGGTATAACTAAAGTTAAAAATTTTTTTATACCTGGAAATATACTTTACAGGTGTTAAAAAAGTTTTAATCTTTAAATATACCCGCAATTGTATGTATCAAAATAAACCTTCATAAATTTTACTTTAAAGTCTACCTGTAGTTGGTGGTGCAATTATTGCAATATAATAATAAAAACAATAAAAATAAATTTTTCTACAAACAACGTTTTTCTAGCGTCCTGAAAAGTAGAAAATAATTTTTCTTTGAGCTTGTCAGAATGTCTGATTATATTCCTCTTATCATGATGACAGATTTTATAACAAATTTGATACACGTATTACGAAAAACGTTGGGCACAGTGTAGATATATTGTGCTGATGTATGATTAATGGAAACGTTAATGTTGGTCAATCACAACTCTTATATCTTATGACATGCGCCCAACATTTTTCGTAATACGTGTATCAAATTTTTTTTATTTACGCTAAACTTAAGTCAGCTTCACATTGTTTGTTTTAATTACTTTTTTTAATGATTTCTTTTATTAACACTAAACTAAAGTTTGGCCTACTTCTTTGATTATTACTGCTGAGCTATCTTGAAAGTTTCAGAGCTTTAGCTGGTCGGGAAGTGGGTTAAATATTGTTTCAAAGATTCTAACCGGACAAACAGACAGACACACAAGAAAGCAACCTTATAAAAACGTTGTAAAAACGCGTAAAATTAATTAGTAATTAGTTAATCAATATTTTTTAAAGTGAAAAGTGCATTGTGCAAGTTTTTATAGAAAATGAAAAAATTATTTTTGACAAATTATCAAAGGTAAATATAGTACATATTATGTTATTTTTTTTTTTCTAAATCTTTTTCTTTTTATTTATTTCTTTTCTTTTTTCTTTATTTCTTTTATCTTCATATCTTTTCATTTAATTTTAAATAGCATGTCTTTTGTATGGAGGCACTTTAAAGGGAAACGGGCAACAAAGATAAAGTACGCTGTGACGTAGACTTGGGCAATCGAAAGTGTAGTACTGTTCTCAATTGTGCTGGAGGTTCAATGAAGGGTTTGATAGAACATCTAAAGCGTGTTCATCAGATACTTGGTCCATTAAAATCTGGACCGACAACTAGCAAACAAGCTCAACCAAACACAAGCAGCACTGACAATCCTCCAGTAAAGAGGCAAAAGCTGATGACAGATTTTTCTCATCGTTTGAGGAAACCATTTCTAAAGAAGTTGCTTTAAATGGATTGAACTTTGAACAGATCGCCAACTCAGATATAATAGCAGAGTATGTGAAAGAGAAGTTTCTAACAAAAAACTTCCCTAAGAATGGATCTAGTGTTGCAAAGATTGTTCAAGGTTT